TCTCTCTCTGTCAAATAAATAAATAAAATCTTAAAAAAATAAAATAAAATCTTAAAAAAAAAGCATTTACTTTGGGTGAACGAAGCATTTCCCAATTGTCTGACTACATAACTCTCTACCTCCCTTTTAAAAGTTACATCCGTCCAGTGTCCACAGAACACTGTGAGCAGGACTAGAAACCTAGCACCTGATCTGACTCTTTACGCCTACATCCCACCAGGAAGCAAGGCCTGTCGTACCTCCTTTCAACACGTCTCCTGCTGTCACCTGCCCTGGATTGGACTCACGCACCCCACCACCGCTGTCTCTCTCGGCCTCTCTCCTGCAAGCCTCCCCAGTCCTGTCCACCCCGCACACCTCTGCCCTGTGCCGACAGCTCCCTTTCGCATTACGGTCTCCCACTGGGAGGGAGGCACCAGGGCTGGGGAGTCAGAATGAGGAGCATGATGGATGTGACCCCAAGCTCCTGGTGTTCCTACTTACTAGCTGAGAGAACTTAAGCGAGCCACTTAAACTAAGCCCCAGTTTCCTCGTCTCTCCAATGGTTGAGTTTAACTGTAACACGCTCATTGGTGGTGGTGGAGAAAAAATGAAATCATGTGCAAGACTGGTGCCGGGCTCTCCACAGGCACTCATAGAAGGCTTGCCCCCTCCACAGGGCTTTCTGGAACCACTCTGATCTCCCTTGCAACAACCCACTGCGGCCACAATCCTGTCCATTTATCACTGAACTGCTCCCTAAGCACTTCCTCTGCCTATGTTGGTTTCATAAGCAGCCGAAGCTCCAGGGCTGGTTCGGGTTAATCAGTCCCTCCTTCTGCTGCCTCCACACATGCTTCCACTTTTCTCCCACTGACCAGCTCTTCTATCTACCCACTAGGCCCCACACTCATAAAGCGTAGGAGCCGTGCCAGACTCGTACACCCATCATCTGCACATACCTGGCACGTGGTAGGCATAGAGTGGGTGCTTGATGGCCAACAGCCGCGGACCCCCACCCGGGAGGAGCAAGCCCCATGCTGTGCGAACCTTGCTAAGAGAACGTGTCAGGGAAACAGCAATGGCCAAACCAATCCAGAGACCTTGCTGGTGGTATGGGGAACACACCCAGTTCTGATCAAGTATCCCAGGGCTGCTCCCCCCACTCCTCACCCCCCCCTCCTCTTGGGCTAAACTCAAGTTTGGTTAATAATCACTAATGCGCAGGGTCACTGAAGAGATTACGTAACTTAATGTCAGTGGCCGGGACCCAGGGTGCACTCGGTGAGTGTCAGTCCTACCACGTTCTCTCACCCTGTCCTGAGGTAGAGTGGGAAGCAGGGCCAGAGCGGAGTTGTTCTCATCTAATAATAATGAAATACTGACATCTCGTGTTATAGGATAGTGCTTTTCCACCAGAAGCAATTTTGCCCCCCTTGGGGTCATCTGGCAACATCTCTCCAGACATTTTTGATTGTCACAACATGGGGAGAATGGAGGTACAACTGGTATCTAGTGAACACAGGCCAGGGACGCTGCCAAAAACCCTATAACGCACAGGACAGAGCGCCCCCCCCCAAATAATTACAAATCCCAAAATGTTCAAAGTGTGAAGTCGAGAAACCCTGTTATAGGGTGAGAGAACTCAGAAGTCCTGACCTTCTGTCCATGTTGCCCCCATCACTACTTGAAAAACCCCATTCTCTCTAGATTCGGGCGTAAGAGGCCTGAGAGCCAGTCCTGGAGCCAGTCCTGTCCTCTAGCCTCTCACCGTCCTCCCCAAGCACACATACAAACCTTCCGATGCCAGTGGACAGGATGGCAGTGGAAGTCTTTAGTTCCTCGTACAGATCAGCGCCATTGCAGGGGAAAGCTGAGAACTGGGCCAGCAGCACCCTTCTCAGGGCAACCAGGGCCTGCGGAAGGGGCAGGGGCAACTCAGGGTGGGGCCGGGGATGCTTCAACCCAAAGCAGCCCAGAGTACTCAGCAATATACGGCCAGAGGAGGGGGCATCCCAGGGTCTCATACGTTCCCCCCACCCTACTTATCAACCTCTGGGAACCCTCTGCTCCTTTGGCTCAGAGGTGAGCATTTAGACTCACCCAGGTTTGGAGCGTGGAGATGGGCGGCTCACCTTGTAAGACAAGCCACATTTCTGGGCCACGTCCTCCAGGTCTGCGGAAACCAGGTCCACCACTGAAAACAAAACCCACGTGGTTGATTAGTAGGAAGGGAGGCCCGGGCTTTCCACACTTGGCTTCTCCTCTACCTAAAGCGGGGAGACGGTTCTACCTCGGGGCAGGCAGTCTCAGGGGGCCCAGGTAAAAGCACAGAGCCGCAAGGCCTGGCGAGGCGCCATGGCGCCCGGCGCCCGGTAGGGGTTCTGCCCTCCCCGCGGGGCTCGGCGGGCCCCACTCCCGCCTTCCCGAGCCTCTACAGAGCGCGGAGGGGACGGCCCCTCCGGGGTCCGCCGGCGCGGGGGGCGCCGAGTCCGCGCTGTGCCCAGCTGGGTGGCGCGCACGCGGTCACCTGTCTTGATCCCGCGGCTCCTCAGTTGCCCGACCATGTCTTGGGTGAGGCCCGGGCACAGCCCGGCCCTGAGCACGCCCATGTTCCCTGGGAGCCGCGGGGGCGCCGGCCTCGGGACTGCTCACCCCGCGGGCATCCGCCAGGCTCTCCGCTCACGCCCGGCGGCGCCCCTTTCCGGAGGGGACGCAGGCGGCGGCGCGGAGGG